TTTTTATTTGGTCAAGTAGTCTAATCACCTCCCCCCTCTAGACATACTTAAGATCGTACAAGTAGACTGACTCCTGTCTGCATCTACTAGTATTACTCCACACATCAACCGCTATCCAGCATGCATCTAGAGTATTAATTTCATAAAGAACAGAGTAACGCATTAAGTAAGATGACATGATGTAGAGGAATTAACTCAAGCAATATGATGAAAACCCAATCTTTTTATCTTTGATGGCAACAATACAATACGTGCCTTGCTGCCCCTACTATCACTGGGAAAGGACACCGCAAGATTGAACGCAAAGCTAAGCACTTCTCCCATTGCAGGAAAAACCAATCTAGTTGGCCAAACCAAACTGATAGTTCAAAGAGACTTGCAAAGATATCAAATCATGCATATAAGAATTAAGAGAAGATTCAAATAATATTCATAGATAAGCTAATCATAAATCCATAATTCATCGGATCTCGGCAAACACACCGCAAAAAAGTATTACACCGAATAGATCTCTAAGAACATCGAGGAGAATATGGTATTGAGAATCAAAGAGAGAGAAAAAGCTATCTAGCTACTAGCTATGAACCTGTAGGTCTGTGGTAAACTACTCACGCTTTATCGGAAGGGCAATGGTGTTGATGTAGAAGCCCTTCATGATCGAATCCCCCTCCAGCAGGACGCCGGAAAAGGCCCCTAGCTGGGATCTCATGGGTATAGAAGGCTGCAACGGTGGAAAAGTGTTTTCGTGGATGCCTCTATTGGTTTAGGGATATATGAGAATATATAGGCGAAAGAATTAGGTCAGGAGGTGCACGAGGGGGCCCACAAGGATGGGGGGGGCGCCCCCCATCCTTGTGGCTGCCTCGTGGCTCCTTCGACTTCATCTCCAAGTCTCCTTGTCCAAGAAAAATCATCGCGAAGATTTTATTCCGTTTGGACTCCGTTTGGTAATCTTTTTCTGTGAAACTCAAAAACAGAAAAAGAAAACAGGAACTGACACTGGGCTCTAGGTTAATAGGTTAGTCCCAAAGATAATATAAAATAGCTTATTAATACATATAAAACATTCAAAATAAATAATATAATAGCATGGAACAATAAAAAAATATAGATACGTTGGAGACGTATCACCGATTGATCCACCTGTCCTCTGCACCAGCGTCGAGATTGTCGCCCCGGTCACA